GGTCAGACCTGCGTTTCTGGGATGAACGAGTTAATCGCAATGAAATAAATGTTTGGTGTAATTACTCGAGGTCTGTAGGCGAATGTCGGGGGCGTGTTGGCTGGTTTGCCGGCTTTGGTGCCCGTGATGCTGAACGACGTTTCAAGGTCGAGCAGATTTAATTGTTTGGCATCGACCAGTAGGTAAGATATCTAAATATTAAAATGCCAAATTTTGCAAATGGAACAGCGTCAATTGTGAACATCCATCATAAGATTATATTTAGAATTATTGTTCCGTTAGTGAGCATTGGAGTAAACAGGAATGAATTTAGCGTTAACGGCTAGGAGGGTTATATTCGCCCACTTAGTCGTCGCAGGTGCTGGGAAGGATCAACGCACAAATTGTACCTCATTTCAATAAGGTACGCGATTGCAGATTGGTATTCCTTCTTATGAAATAGGCGGCTTTTTCTTATGCGCCAGTGATGTTATTCCCCGGTAATACCCCAGCCGAACATTTTTATTTTGAGTCGAAAGACGGGTTCATTTGTTGGTACAACGTACGATCAACACACCGAATTTTTTGGTAATATCAGTCCGATTACTGCATGCAGATTATTTTCCTTTAGGTGATTTACTACCTCACTGGTGCGCAAGTTATTTACTTAGCTATCTTTTTACTATAATATTGGCACAGATTTGCTGGGTTCGTATAATCAGTTGTGAAAGTTTTGGCGCGAAAGCAGTTTTGGTATTGCATGCAAAACAAGTTGGAGCTGCAGCACCATGATTACATTGTTTTTTACTAAATATAGAGCGATAAATTTGAGCAAACTTCAAAATGGACCGTCGGCTACCTGAGTGGTAGCAAAAGGCTATATTCGGTGAATCGTTGAAAGTTTATCTAACGTTGTTTCGCGGTAATCCCTGTAACCAGCTTTCGCGCAGTAGTGATTTGTCCATGATGACGTGCTAACCGTATGAAGCATTTCGCTTGAAACATAGGGGGCATTGTGCCACATACTTGCACACAACTGATGAGCTGCTTCTGGATCAAAAGTGTGTTGTGTTGCACTATAACATTCAAAAAGCAAATAAGCTGAAACATTTAGTAAGTTGACACACTATTAAAAGGAAAGCCTAAGAGAATCGGATATGACTTCATTAAAACAAATAAACGAGCATTGCACATAAGAAATACAACAAATTTTAAAGAAATACGGATAGTGCTTCCATTGGCACAGTGGAATGCGCAAGTAGATCAACGTTATCAGAATGCGCAAAATGTCATTATTGTTTCCAGCTCATTCAGCTCATACTGGATAGCTTCAAATTTGATAACTGTTTCAATCAATGTGCTCAGGAAAATATCATTATTGGCAACTAAGTGAATTATAGCGGCTTTGCTGACTTAGTAGCTGCTGAAATTTTAAGGAAAACAGTAAAAGCGAGTCTACATTTTCGCATGTATATTACGTACATGGAGGGAGGTGGCAAGCCATCAATATACTACATATTTTTCACGACAGAAATGAAATGTAAATGAGATGCTAACGTGTATTTAAAACAGATTTTCTCTTACATGTCATACACAATAAAGAATCGGGATAACATTTCTTATTCGTTAGTATCATAGGTATTTTTACGGGCGAAAGCAAAAGTGGCCTTATGTATTTGAAAATGCATTTTGGCACGCATGCCTAGAATCAAAACGCAAAAGGATTACATAGATGATCCCTAATGATGTTCCTGCATATGAGCAGACGGATGTATGCATTGACAAAATGCTTGTTGCCACCTAATTTTGCGGCGAGGTTCAGGGTGTAAATCGTTAAACAGCAGCTTAAGATAAATTATATGACCACTCTTTGCGCTCACGTATTATAAGAGGTATACGTAATGTGCATCATTCTGCTGAAGGAGTAACTTACAGCTATCCTTTTTAACTATTATCAAAGAATATCTCGTTCATTCAGTTAGCAGTTCTTAATGTCCAAACATTTAACCGAATGTCATCAGCCCCGGTAGCTAGCCGTAATTGGCGTGGGCAAGAAACAAATATATACCAATATTTAATGTGGTTCGGTAGCATAAAGAAATGTGAATAATGGCTACACGAAGCTTTAATCACATTAAAATGGCCGGAGCATGATTGCCTCGAGAGCATAGAAGTAGCAAGCAAAGAGTAACCTATATACTTACATAGTTGTAGCTTTGCATTATTCCATCAATTATTTGTCAGCAAATGCTGATCCCTAACTTGCTATGGCAGAATTAGAATATTTAGTAAGAAAAGTACTATTAGAGAATTAGCATCGGCAATTTCGTTGAACGTGTGAGGTAGTAATACAGCAAAAAGACGTTAAATGTTGGATGCAACTTTACCGTTGCAACCCTTTTTACCAAAGGTGGTAGACTATTTGAAGGTGTACCAAAGTGTGGATTGGTGAAATATAAAAACTTAAGGATTATAATAGCTGGTATTGAAACATCCTCAAGTAAACTCGAACTCGCGCCTACAATTCGACTGTATATGCATCAACTACAAGTGCCACATTGCACCAAACGTGATATACCTCGACGATTGATATCTTTGCATCCACGTATACAAGGTGCAAATTTTCAGAGCTAGTCTATTTCTCTATTGTCGCATGTGTCATCAAAGAATGATACATCGAATTTCCTTCGTTATGCGTTCTATCGTCCCCTTCATTTATTTGTATTTAAACACACCCAACAATATAAACTGTTGCCTGTGACTCCTGCATTTTAAAACAAAGCAAATGCTTGAACACCAACAAGCTACTATAAACTACTCCCAGCGACCCTGCATGCAAAACAAGCTCTTCTAGTAAAAACCATCAGTAATGGAAAGTGGATATGACCGACACGGAAATGCCCTACTGTCTCCTTCTCTAAGGTGTACAATTAACATCTTTACCAAATAAACGTTTATTGTAATCGTTGATAACACTGCCAGTTTACCTGCAGATTGCACCGTGGTAGCAGTTTTGCGTGTGTAGAACACACAGTAAAAGTTCATCTTAAAAATGACTTCTTGGAAGCTGTCAGTTATACCGACAATTTGATCATTGAATCAAATGTTTCACAGTACATGGTCTTATAGGTATGAATACATGCATATTACAGCTTTCCGGAAAATACTATGTACCAATCTCAGATTCACTAAATTTATCGAAGAAAGGGCGCAACGTATAATCGCCCAATATGCCATTTCACTGTTAATTGTATACTGCTAAAACCACAATATGCTTCATATTGGATTATGTTTTAAGCTCAATTTTATCGGCGGCAAAGCCGACCAATAAATGAACCAATTTGGTTGAACAAAATTTGCTGTCGGATAAGGAATGTGATATTGTGGTAACGCAAATCCATGATCGGCAGACACGAATTGATTCTCGTCTGTTGTAGTTGTAGTTATGAGCAGTTCTTCTACTTATGCTTAACAAACAACACAATATACCATTAGCTAAACCATGGCACAAGGAATTTGCTTGTCTGGTGACTTCTGTAAAACGCGTTATTTAGTTGGATACCCACACAACTTTACCAAACGTGTAGAATAGCCGTTCGCTATGTTGTCAAATGTTGGCCTCCAAATTTGGAAAGCAACATTAGACCTCCTGAATGTAACTAAAACCCATATTCTTTTTATAATAAACGGAGGAAGTCCCAGTACAATATTTCATATGATCCCAGTGTTTATGATATGATTTTAGCGAGTGTGCGGATTGACATATTATGACTGGGATTGTTTTTCCTACCTAATCTATGTGTTATACTTATACGGTCCAAATATATTTACATTAGTTTTGAAATGAATGTCTTCTGAATCTACGCGGATTTGGACACAAAACTTTATGCTCCATGTTAAATGGCTAGGAGACGCCGGTGCTTTAGGTACATTTAGTCGAGTAAAAAGTTTGCAGTGCAACTTTAGAGTATAAAAATATATTCACAGACATTTTAAACTTAAATGCTTTGCTTCTTTCTACTGGACAGCCATGAACAAGTCATTTGCCATGAATCATGGCCGCAAATATGTTGTTGATATTTTATCTTGTGTCCTGCTACACGGATATGGTGCGTAGTTAATGGACAATTTCTCATTGACCAAGGTCGCATATGGAGGAAAAACAGCACGTATGTCCGATGAGTGCAATCTATACAAAAGTAGACATATAACAATAATAGTATGTTCAATATTGTGCTCACTACGTTACTTGATTGCAAAATATTTTTAATGAGGATGGCAGAAGAACTGTGGAACTGCCAAGGCGTAGCTGCTGGAAAAGGCGTTGCTTTAAGATCTTGTCAAACTTCATAACTTATTGGAAACACAGCTTTATTGTGGTTGGTATTGAGTTGGCAGCTTTTGGAAACCATTTGGTAGTAAATACACGTTGCAGTGATTGTGGAGAGGAGAGTAGTTAAGGGTGGTTCAAAGTCTGCTCGGTTGTACTAACGTGTATAACAAAATATATTACGTTATTTGGAGGGTCGCTGTGTGTATTACTACATAACGTTATTGCTGAACTAGCAGGTCTGCACTGTACGTCAAAAATATGCTTAGTACATATAGTCAGCTGGAAAATTGTAAGATGAAACGGCCGATTTATACATATGATGACATAATTCGCGCTGCTTTATTCTATAGTCCCCTGGAGGGCGCAGCATTAATGAAACTATGGAGAATTAAACATTGGGTTCTGGTGTTTTGCAGGCTAGCCTAAACCTGCTGACAGGTAATGGTCAATGAGGAAGAATCACACCTAATCAACACTATTGCTATTATTATATTTTGTACGGTTATGTCTGGCTTTTCAAAGTTTTGTGGTCAAAACCCCGGACAAAATAAGGAGAGGCAACCTGCCAAAGCACACTATTAGAGCGTGATGCCTAACACCACAAATATTTACAGCGGTCACCAGACAAGCGAATTCTTTGCGCCTTGGTTAACTTACAGAGTGACTAAGTTGCTTTTCAGAAATCTGTATGGTAATGCGCATAACCTTTTCTGCCTCAGAGGAACATCTGCTTGTGTCTGTAATAGGCTTAGTTATTTTCGCTTTGCGATTTGTGTTACCAAAATATCGCATTATTGATTTACCTGGAAAACTTAGCAGTCCACTATGCGTTGTAGTTTGGGTATGTCATTTTGCGAAGTTGCGTCTTAATCACATGCCTAAATAAAGCGCAGTTGTGTTTGAAGCATTACACCATTAACAGTTCAGATAACTGTTGACCGATTTTGATTACCTTTCTTTTCATATTTCCCAATTTGATTTATATATTGGTCCATAAACTTCATCGCTTTTCTATGGATCCAACTGATTAATTCATGCTATAAATTGTTATTTTCATCATTAATTAGTTGGTCACCTTGCTAGTAAACATGAAAGCTTTCAGAAAAATAATGTGTATGCCCAAAACGCAATCTCATCCTAACAAAATAGAAGCCGCTACTCCAGTAACATCCTCTTTTATAACTGAGAGTTAACAAAAATAATAACTGAAAAAGTATATTTATTGGAAACTAGGTTCATGCAAACCATTGATCGGCAGTCGAGAAAGAGAGTAAAGAATATTAAATTGTGTCTTAGTTAGTCTTTCTAATCAAGGTGTATTAGATCGGAATAATTTGCTTTTCCATTCAAGAATGGCTGCGAATAAAGGATGGTTATTAATCAGCAGTTCAGCAGTCCATTTGCGCTGAAACGTAGGACTATATGCAATCTCTATTGTTACGTGTGTTTTTAATTCGAACGACGAGTGAAATTATGAGCATTGGGTATACGTTTGATTCCAGTGTGAGATATGAAACTGACATGTCCTGTTATCATGTCCTGAACATGGGTGGCCATTATAAAATGTATATACTGTATGTATTCAAATATTTTGTGCATGAGTTTATTGCAGTCCTAAGATAATAGTAGGCAATATAAATTGTTTTGTTATTCAATCATTAGTTAGGTCATTTAAATTCCGTTTCTTACGCAAGCATTTTGTGACTTAATGGACAGACAATTCAACGCACAAGGAGTAATAGAAATAAAGTTATCATTGGTAGAACGATTGTAGATCAATAACTATTATTTAATTTATCCTATTAAACTTATGTATTTTTGACCGTTAAAATTAATGAGGCCAGCTTAAGTTTTATTGAATTATTTTGGCAGCCCCAGTATAACCAATAAAAAGGTTGTAAGTACTTTGTGATTTCTATTTAAAAATGTATCCTGCTGAGGGAACAAAGAGTGTCCGGCAAGGTGGCTTTCAAAAAGGATGCAATAAATTTCCACAGATTGTTGACTCACTAGTGGTCAAATCTCTGTACTAAAAGCCGAAACATGATAAGATAATGAAAATTATAGTAAAATGCAATTATGTATGAGAAATTGATTTTGTTTTGTTAACAATTATAAAGCAGCTAATGCACCAAGGAGAGTCTTTAGTCATATTATCGAGGTTCTCAAAAGCAACCAATATATATAAAAATCCTCTGTGGATTTGAAACACCGTACATGAAGAATCAATGAAAATCGCGTACATTTCCAGAAATACCTGAGTTATGCAAAATTAACAAAAGTTAAAAACTCTATCGGAAGAATTGCTGCAAAATACTTTGCTAAAGTTATGGTATGCACCTTCTCATATTCGCTACATAATATTAGGTTATCAAAATACAATTCAACGGTTTAGCGTTGCATTTTTCAAAATATATTGTGCCAATGTTATAATAATGCACTGATAGTGTAAGCGGACACTACTGTCAGGATAGAAATGCAGTGGATGACGGATCATCCGGGATATTTCATTGCTGCTTATACTGTTGGAATTACACATTGATACGTTGCAAAATTGACATGGCATATGCAGCACCCCGAGTAATTTCTCTGCTTATATTTCCGAGCATTTGACACAACTGCCAGGCGTAGTATGTTCCTGTTTACCTGGCCTGCTAAATCTCGTTGGTTTAGAGCATAATTGTCCAATTAATTCAATCAGCCATTTGAATTCAGAGCTCTAAGAATACCTCTCATGTAAAGTTCTTATATCCCTTCTAGCCTGGTTTGCTGTGGTTGTGTATGCGTGAATACGGAACACTAAAATCAAGCTTGTAGGCTAAATTTTTAATAATGTTATAGTGTGATTTATAATGCATTCATCCTGTGATTTATCTACACTTGACAATAGTGACATCGTCTCTTCGCTTAGCACCTGGACAACTGATTTTTTCTATTTTAAAAAACGCACCGCCCCGTTGAGCAATTTTCATTAATAGCAGCACAGTTGCGTTTGTAAGCAGTTTTCCCTCTATATTTAGGCGCAAAATGTAACTGGTTTTCATGTGATGGACACTTATGATTCTTTTGGAAGAACATTGTATTATTGTTAATGTTTTAAGGAAATTGGAAAATTCCCAAAAGTGTTTGTGGCCAGTATGTTTCTTTCAACTCCTACCGATTCTCTTACGTTTTAAGCAGACTGTCTGTATGGAATAGTTTGTGTTCATTAAGTTAATAATTATGGGGATCGACATTATTTTTAATTAACCACATATTTTCATTTTACGATTCAAATCAATTCGGTTATTACGTTGAACATATATCTGCACCGTGATTAAATGTCTCAAGTAAGCGCAACTCAGTGCAACTGATATTCGATAACGACCATGGGATGTTTCTGTGCATTACTTTTTTGCCTAGACCACGTTTTACTCGCCGGAAGCCGGGAATACATTAGAATCATCTCAAGTTAAATAAAAGTATAATATATAAACTACGAATTATATGCATTTGTTGGTTATGCAAACATACTTTTGCTGGGTTCCTTTTAATCCACAAACTCGATGCAACGTTCTGGTAGCACTGAACAATTGATTCAACGGAAGCAGTTTGTAACAAAATACTTGGGATACAGGACATCGCGTACGGACTCCTTCTTATGCAAAATACTGCTTATGTTTACCAATATTTTTCAAACCAACTGTAAATATATTCAAAACTCTTTGCATTAGAGGTTTTCAAGTAAGCACTATTACAGGTTAAAATTAAAGGCTTTGTCAGACATGTGTTCTTGTAATTTTGCATAACATTGCTAATATTTCTCCCAAGTAATCTATGTGAAATACTAGTTCACTTTGCTTTCGCGTGATGCGCTATGGGAGTATGATGTGCAATGCTTTATTAAACCACCAACTTTTTATTAGGTTCAGCTCGTTTCACATTGTTAATGCTTGTAAACCGTGAATTAATTGTCTGAAGAAACCAAGGTCCTAATAAGTGCTAATGCCAATTTATACTAGCAGGAGACTAGC